TCATTCATTCATTCATTCATTCATTCATTCATTCATTTATTTATTTATTTATTTATTTATTTATTTATTTATTTAGACTTATATGCTGCCCCTTCTCCGAGAGGACTCAGGGCGGCTCACAACAATAAAACAGAAAAATAAAACAAAAACTCCGGGTTAAAATTACATATAAAATCCCTAAATCAATTAAAATCCATTTAAAAAACCTCCATCAGTCCAGGCCGGCCAGGCGAAATAGCGACGTTTTTAGTTTGCGGTGGGAAGAGCGAAGGTCGGGGGCCATCCGGAGCTCCAGGGGGAGCTGATTCCAGAGGGTAGGTGCACCCACAGAGAAGGCCCGCTCCCTAGGGGTTGCCAGCTGACACTGTCTGGCCAACGGCACCCCAAGTAAGCCCTCTCTGTGGGAACGCACCGGGCGATGGGGAGCTGTTGCTGGCCGCAGAAGGTCCACCAAATAAGAGCCTAAGCCATGTAGGGCTTTATAGGTAATCACCAGCACCTTGAATCTCACACGGAGGGCAACCGGTAACCAATGCAGGTCACGCAGGACGGGTGTAACATGAGAGCGTCGGGACACTCCCATCACTACCCACGCGGTCGCATTCTGCACCAGCTGAAGCCTCCGAGTGGTCTTCAGGGGCAGCCCATGTAGAGAGCGTTACAGTAGTCAATCCGGGAGGTGACCAGCGCATGAATGACCATGTGTAGGGCATCTCGGTCCAGGTAGAGGTGCAACTGGCACACCAGACGAATCTGGGCAAATGCCTCCCTGGTCACGGTTGTAACATGATCTTCCAGAGAAAACCGCGAATCCAGGAGGACGCCTAAGTTGCATGCCCTGTCCACAGGGGGCAACACCTCACCCCCTATAATCAGCGGTGGAACATCCCCATGGAACCGAGATGCCGGTACCCACAACCACTCTGTTTTGGCAGGGTTGAGCCCAAGCCTGTTCCTCCCCATCCAGAATTGCACGGCTTCCAGGCACCGGGACATCACGTCGAGGGCATCACTGGGCTGATTCAGGGTGGGTAGAAAAAGTTGGGTATCATATGCAGATTTAATCTGGCAAGGGACTAACTAATGGAACAAGGTGCTATGCTCTGTAGCTACAGTGACCATACAACCTTGATTTTAGAAAGCTGTCCTTTAGATTAGATGATTTAATTTAATCATTTATTTTCTTGGTTTTGCTCATGATTCTTCCTTTGTATGCAAAGTTATAAACATAAACCATTACATTTTTTAAATCTTTATTTGCCCCCTTTTTCAGATCTTTCTTTTATTTTTTTTCCCAAGAAAATATGGCTATGGTATCTAGCCATATTTGTAGGTCCGTGATGGCGAACCTATGGCACATGTGCCACATGTGGCACGCCGAGCCATATCTGTGGGCACGTGAACGTTGCCCTAGCTCAGATCCGGCGGGCATGCGCATGCTGGCCATCTAATTTTCCGGTCTTCCGGGCCCACCGGACGTTGGGAAATGGGCTGTTTCTGGCCTCTGGAGGGCCTCCGGGGCAGTGGGGAAGGCCGTTTTCGCCCTTCCCAGGCTCCTAGAAAGCCTCTGGAGCCTGGAGAGGGCAAAAAATGGGCCTACAGGGCCCACCATGCCATCACGTGCCAAAAGTGGGGGGAGCGCAGGGGGTTACACGCGCATGCACAGGGGGGTGGGGCACATTGAATTATGGGTGTGGGCATGCGCACGCGCGACCCCCCATAGTGTCAAAGTGTCACCAACACTTTGAACTGGGCCTGGAAGCCTTCTACAACCAATATAATGGCGACAAACAATAGTCTTTTCATGGCTATATCTGTTTATTGGCTGAAATAGATTTTAAATCTGGCCAGGTAACTTGATTAGTTTTATTTTGCTTTTATGTTTTCCACTGATGCACTTCCATCCTTTTATTTTGGATTTAATGATTAGCAAAGTTTAGCCTGATGCTTGAGGGGGAAAAAGATGCCCGTCTATATTTTTTCCTTTGTCTTGTTATTCCCTGGAAAGATTTATAACACTGTCTGCCCGATTGAAATACTTGATAAACTATTTATTTGTCTTGTTGTTTGCTCTCTTGGTGCGCATAATGTGAGCTTTCAAAGGCAGGAAGTTTAGCTAAATTCCTGGAAAGTTAGTTGTCCAGTTTCTCAAATCCAGGCAACTGAATTTTCCAGCAGCCCTTTTCTTTCAGCAGTGGGCAAAATGAGCTTGCTTTATTTCAGCCCCTTTGCAAATCACTAGTTCTACTGATTTAATAGCATCTAAGTCCATATCTTTGTTTGGACAGTAGATGGTGCAAGCAAAACAGTTTCATTTTCCACAATACGGTAGCAATAAAATTGGAATAATGTTTGATGATGACCCTTTATGATTAGGATCTTCATATAAGTAAATTTTTTTTGTGCCACAAGTGGGTGGATTTAATATGTGTATGGGAAGGAAGAGTAGATACGCATGTTGAAATTCATTTTGCTTTTCTCCGCACTTGCTGTTTGGCAGACCACTTATAAAATAATTAGAAACAAATTCATATCTGAAATCTGATTTGTATTTTGAATGAGTTTGACTTTAGGAGATGACTTTTAGAAACAATCTAAAATTGAACGTTTCCTCTTGGATAAACTTTAGAAAAGTCTGAAATGACATGGATATGTATGGACTCACCCCATTACAATTTTGTAAAGGGAGCTCCGGGAATGCATTTCAAGTTGTCACAGAAGCTAAAGAGCCTCTAATTGGAGTGGTGAATTCTTCACACAGGCTTCATTCTATCTGGCTTAGAGAGATATTTCGAGCACCACTCGTCACAATTTGTGATTCTAAATCTTGACAGTTTGCTGAAGCATCCTTTCCCCGAAGAGCACAGGAGGATGTCAACTAATTTAACCTTGCTTGTCTTCTAGCTGTGACTCACTCTATTTTTGGAGAAGTTTGTAAGCCCATCAGTCAATCTGGATGGCTTGAAATAATGGATCTTCTACAGCATCTGACCCGTAAATGATCCTTCAAAACATGTGCAAAACCTCATGCAAATCTACTCTATGAATCTATGAATTCATCTCAAGTTGTAGAACCTGGGTTGCCAAAGTTAGTTTGAAGGGGCTCTAAGTAGGATTGCTATAGTGAGGGCATTTCCATACTGCCCCATTTTCGCTCTTCTGTCACATGAAAGCAGATTTGTGGTCATCCACAAATCTGTCCATCTTGAAAGGCTAAGAACAAGAGGCAAGCTGTCAGGCTTGGAAGCCATCTTTTGCATTGGGCCTTCAGGCCTCCCACATTTAGTGGGAAACTGGGAGGGGGCATTGTATGGAGCAGGGGTGATATATAGTCATAATAACATTCCATTCTTGGAGAGTCAAGGACATCTTGCCCTGCACCTGGAGGGGTGTGACTGGGAGACACCTCCAGTTGGGATGGTGCTTTGATTGGACCATGTGATGGACATGTGGGTGCTGGGCAGGGACTTGGACTTTCTTTTTGGTGGGGAAAACCTGGAAGCTTTCAGATTCGGGTTTTCCCAGATGTGCCAATATGACATCTCTAATAAAATGAAACTTTGAGGAACTTACAGTCTTGGAGTTTTCTTTCATTGGGGGTGTTACTTGGAACCCTGACACAAGCAATTTTATCAGATCTTGCAGTAACAAAAATCCCCAAACACCTGGTGATAATAAAATAATTTGCTTCTGCACTGTCCTCCCATGTCCACCTCTTTGTTGCAAATCAAATCAGCTGACATAAAATTTGATCTAGATTGGGTGGGTACTTCCAGATAAATGGGTCTTATTACTATGGATCAAAAGTTAGTATGTCACTTTTCCATCTTTACTTAACTGATTTTTGGTAGAAGGAAAAATGACCAGAGAAGCAGTTGGAGTAACCTAGAGGATTAAAGTGAAAGTAGACATGGTTGGGGATCCCCATCCCTGCCTCCAAAAATGTAAAGGACTTTTGAGTAGGATCATTTGATTTTGCTCAGAGATATTGGGATATAATCTCCCTTTTTTAGCCTACCTGACTCAGAAAAATCTATGGAGATTCTCAGTCATCCAGGTCCTGTTTGTCCCAAAGATGCTTTTTCAGCAGGCAACTGGATTTCTTGTTTTTTTCTTTGAAGACATTTCTCTTCTCATCCAAGAAGCTTCTTCAGCTCTGCCTTCTGAAAAAGCACCTTTGGGACAAACATGACCTGGATGACTGAGGATCTCCATAGATCTTTAGCTATGCACTTTGGGATGAACACTCTTCAAATGGTGTGGGAGTATGGATTTCCAGAAAAAAAATTGCAGACTACAGGAACTATTTGAACCATACAGGTGACCCTGATGACACAGATAACCCTCCAGGTGGTCTTAATTACTCTCTAAAAGAATGCAAATGATTAACTGTTTGTAAGGAATATAAATCCTTCCATTCCCCACCATCCAGTCAGAGCTGAAGAAGCTTTTGGCACTAGAAGCGAAAGTCTTCAAAGACAAAACAAGTGTTCTGTCCCCCCACCTCACATAGGCAGACACACGAGCAAAAGACGTCTACCAGTAATTTATTTTTTTAAAAAAAATAATCTTTATTTACATTTTCCATTAAAAAAAAACAAAAAATAACAACACACCATATAAATAACATACAAGACAACATAACAAATAACAAACATATCTGCAAGTATATTATTATTGCAGTAATTTATTTTTACAAGCCGACCTGAATCCCTTTGGCAGATACAAGTTCTGGCAGCTACTTTCCGAATGCCTGCCAAGTTTCTTATCACCTCTAGAAACAGGAATCAGCATATCTGTAGTCCGTTGCTGGGGCAACCAAGAGTTCAAAGAGTAGTCAGAAGTCATTCACAAAGTCCAAGCCTTAATTCCGAAAAATATCCCATCCGAAGCTCACAATATGCAGTTTTTGTCCGTCACAGAGCCTGCAGAGCAACCCCACCCACTTTTATCCCCTGTGGGGCATGGCTCAGTGACTCAGCAATCTCTGGCCCTTCCACACCTCTTCCTTTGCTGCTCATGCTTCTCCCTCCGACGCTGCCTGGGATCAATCCAAGATAGATCTTCATCACTCCCTATTAGTGGGTGCTCCGACATGCCTTCCTCCTGGCCTTCAGCTGGAACCTGAGGCGTTGCCAGAAAGGAGGGTCCTGGAGAGGGAGGCCTTGTCAGTTCCTCCCCATCACTTTCAGAGTCATCTTCCTCCATGAGGCCAGGCTCGGAAGCCAGAGTCACAACAACAAGTAAGTCCAGTTGCCTCCTGAAAAAGCAGCTTTGGGACTGACTGGGAAAAGTAGTAGTAGAAGACTTCACTAATGAAAGGCACCAACCTGGAAGAGAGATTGAAGAAGTCAGATCCATGTTAAAAAAAATCCCTTCTCACCTCTCATGGGTGATAAGGTGTCCTTCTCAATCTCAGGCCAGAGGCCTGAGAGTCTAAGGGCTTTGTGCAGGATCCTAGCGATTCCTAGCACTGAAGTCTTCTGGACAGAGAGCTCTGAAGTAGTTCTTGGGATCTGTTGCAGCCATTCTCACAGTTTAGGAGTCACACCACCACTAACGACACTTTTAGCCGTTATTTTCCACATTCCCTCCAGTTCTTTTTTCAGGCCTTGGTACATCTCCAGCTAGTCACTCCTTCCAGATGTTGCTGTCACTTGGCATTAAATCATAGGCTTTCCATGATCAATCCAGACTATGCTCAGATTGGTCTGTTCAATAACTGGTGTTTTGAATAACTGGTGTTTTGAGCCTCTGGTGTTCTTCCTAATGCCCTTCTGAGCTGTGCTCATGTACAGGTCCATATGGGCCTGTAACTCAGTAGCTATAATGCCTGATACAACTTTCCATGTTGTGCTGAGGCAGGTTATTGGCTACTGTGATAGTGAACTAATTCCTGTTCCGTTAGTAGTCTGCTCTTTGCACTGGTGTTACATGTCTTCTCTTTCTCCCATATGTTCTTCTAGTACTGTTCAGTTTCTGCTGTTGATGGTTCTGTTGTACTGTAGTTGGGAGTACACCTTGGATGGTTCTTTGGAGAACAGGGTGTTTATCTCTTTGATCTCTGCTTCTCTAGAGCATCTCCTTAGCATGGTAGCCAGTGCTGTGAGCCTTTGTTCAGCAGCCTTGAGGGCTTCAGAAGAACTCGGCTGGCGGGCCCGCGGGGGAGGGCCTTTTCTATGGCTGCCCCAGTTCTCTGGAACCAGTTACCTCCTGAGGTCCCAACCATCCCCACCCTATTGGCTTTCCGAAAAGCGATGAAGATCTGGCTTTTCTGGCAGGCCTGGGGCCGTTGATCTCGCTCTTGTGATCTGGTGTGAATGAGTTTTTAATGTTTTTAATGTTTTAAATTTTTCAATGTTTTTTTATAATGATTTTTTAAATGTATTGTGAGCCACCCTGAGTCTTCGGAGAGGGGCGGCATATAAATTTAATTAATTAAATTAAATTAAATTAAACTCAGGTCCTTCAGTATCTGAGTCTTGTCCTTAATCTATCTATCTATCTATCTCTGTCTCTCTGTCTCTGTCTCTGTCTCTGTCTCTGTCTCTCTCTCTCTGTCTCTCTCTCTCTCTCTCTTCCTCCCTCCCTCCTCCCTCCCTCTCTCTCTCTCTCTCTCTCTCTCTCTCTCTCTCTCTCTTTCTTTCTATCTACCTACCTACCTATAAGATATATAACTCTTGCTTTGGGATGTTCATCAGAACCTGAGTAAAGGCGTCTTCTAACTATCCCCTTTAGCAAGCCTTTTTTAATATTCTAACAAACAAGAGAAATTCCATAAAGACTGAACAAATCTCTCATAAAGATTGCTTTAGGCCCTCTCCCTCCTATAATAATTTGAAACCTTTTCAGAGCTATGGTTTCAATGTATTCCCTCCCACGCAGATATGTTATTTACAGGCTTTTTGAATTATTGGAGCATAATTTATGCTCCGAATCTTAGTTTACTTTAATAGTTAAAACATTAGAGGTAAAAAGTAAGCATAGAAATGTTAATCAATGAAAAAGACAGAGTAATCATAAAATGCATAACAATACCTAATCAGATAGCAATTTAGATTGCAGTCTAAAGGTTTCAGAACTACACCCAAATCTTCCTTGCAACGGTTGCTACTGAACAGTATTTAGAAAAACCCATGAATATTTCAGAAGAAATATTTATGGTGCAATGTTGCTGAAAGTGTGATCTGAGGAACCTCTCAGGGCTCTGCAGAATCCAAACCATTTGCCATTCTACCTTGAATAATAATACAATATTTAAAATCCCATCAAAGAATTGAGAGGTGGTAGCAGTCACGAGTGTGTCAAATTTATTTTTTAATACAGTAAATATTGATAACCATAACTTAAAGAAAGAAAGAAAAAAGCCTTTCTTGAGGTTCTCCATATATTTTAATAGTGGGGAGGGATCCCGAGAGAAAAAAGTGTAAGAAACATTGCATTAGCAGAAAGCTTGCATTTCATCCAGCCAATCCAAGCAGTTAACTAGCAGGGTTATTTTTTAGAAGAGATTATAGAAGGGACAACACAGCAAAAGATGAAAAACTGTCTCAGCTGATCCTTTGAGTGTTAAAAATGTTTGGTCTACAGTACAGGTAGGTTGTCTTCAACGTATGACCACAATTGGGACTGGAACGTCTGTTGCTAAGCCTAGTTAAGTGAAACACACCCAATTTTAGGATCTTTTTTTGCTACAGTCATTAAGTGAGTTACCATGGTCATTAAGTGAATCCAGCTTGACTTGCTTGTCAGAAGCCTCCTCCTCCTCCTCTTCCTCCTCTTCTTCTTCCTCTTCCTCTTCTTCCTCTTTTATCACTTCAAGTGTCAAGGGAGATACAAAGTTTTGGTTCTTGCTCTTCTGGCAGCCTCAACCATGGTTAATTTATATTGTTGTAGTGAACATGTTTAAATACATGCCAGTTGCCAAGCACTTGAATAACAATATCCGACAATGGGGATGCTGTGACGATTGTAAATGCAAAGATCAGTCCTAAGTCACTTTTTTCAGCACATTGTAACTTTGAATGGTTGCTAAATGGATGGTCATAAGTCAAGGACTGTCTCTAGTTTTATTCTCTGTTGTAAGCCGCCCAGAGTTCCTTGGGAGTTGGGCGGCATAGAAATGCGACAAAATAAATAAATAAATAAATAGTTAGCAAAATGTTTCTTCTGTGAATAATTTCAATTTTCAAATTTTAATTTCAAATTTCAAATCTTTATTGTCAGTGCACAACATAAAAGAGAAACAACTGGACAGGATAAATGAGCTGCATAAACTATTTGTAAGGAAGAAGTGAGTGGAGAGGTTAGACTATAATCTTTCTTTAAATTAGAGTCAAGACATATTGCTTTATCTTCAGGCTTGGTTTTTTGGGCTCTTGTGGCAATCAGAAAAATATAGGATCTATAATCCCAATATTTTCAAAGGAAATGAAGGTAGATGATTGGAAGCATCAGATACTAAGTAAGGGTTACATGTCCTTCTTGCGTCTCTCCTTTTCCTTCTACCTTTTTCCACCTCAGAATTAAAGTCCAGTAAGTTTGGAAGATCTAGGAAGGGTCTATTACTTTTCTTGCCACCATCAGTCCATAATTTATAAATTATTTTGTTTTTCTCTTTTATTTCTTTGTATCGCAGGCACAATGGAATATGGAAGAAGTTAAAGGATGGCGCAGTCACTTCCGTAACATTTGAGGAAATACCATTTATTAAATGACATATTCTGGGCTATAGAAACCTGCATTTAATGTACTGTTTTTATACTGAGTACAGATGGTCAATATTTGCCTTCTCTGATGCTAAATATTTTCATAACTCTGTCTCTCTGACAGATGGTTTCCTAGGCCAAGTCTCTGAGCCTTCCTCAGGCTCTCTCTACATCCACATCTTCCTCTCCCCTCAGTTCACACCTCCATCTGGAATATAAATTAAAAGAAGGTGTCTTGCATTGCCATGGAAGTTTTATCATCCGTTACCCATTAATAACCATCTCTGGCATTATAATGCCATAGTTGGGAGAAACAGGTGGTTTAAAAAGGGAAAGAGAATCTCACAAAAATGCTTATTGATTGACACCATATTGGTTTAACAAACATAGAAAATATATTCAAAAGGTGCCAGACCAAAAGACATGACTGAAAGAATGAACAATGAATGCCAAAACCCTTTAAAGAAGGCAGAGGACACCATTTCTTAGCTGAAAGTAAAGAAAGATTAAGATGAGTCGCATTTTTATGAGTTTAAGGGAGATGTGATGGCAAAGATGTGAAGGTGATAAATAGTTTTGTAGGTGTGAACGTGTTTTCTAGATTTATTACAGTTCTTGGGATTATCATTCAGTGTAGGTATTATGGTATTAAACCCATTTACTTGATTTATTGCTAATAAGCATTAATGTTTCAAAGTAAGATTGAAAGAAAGCCTTGCTTACATCCTGCATTAGTTTCACTACATGGGGGAAAATGCTGATGTTTTTTTTTAATGGTGTGGTTTTTGAAAGCAGCTCCATCTTGCTCCACAAAGGAGGGACTTGGAAGTGTTCCATCCTTTAGATTAGCCTTCCTCAACCTGATACTTTCTACATGAATTGGACTCCCAGTAGCTTCCAGCTATCATGGCCATCTGGAGGACTGAGGATAAGAAAAGGCTGGGACTTGACGTCCTCCAAAGCATGGATTAATTAAACCAGGTTTCATACCCACTGAATGTTTAAACAATATCCTGAAAGCTTGGCCTTCTTTCGCTTAATGATCTAAATATCTTCATATTTGGACAATGTGTTTAATGCCTATTTGCAAACTGTACTACAGCTGGGTGAAGTGACTAATGAGTGTATTAATCAGAAGCAGCAGCCAGCATATAATTCACACTTTTGGTCGGTATGCCATCCTTAACATTACAATTGTATTTGGGATAAAAAAGCTTTCTTAAGAGAGCCTTGCCTGTACTAATCTTTAAATACCCTAATTAAAGAATTACCCTACTTTTATTACAACAAAACAGAACTGGTTTGGCCAATTTGTAGTGAGTATTGGTCTAAAGAAGGGGAAAAAAGCTGGTGTTAATTGAAAAGCTAGAGTAGACCCACATTTGCCCTTTGCTTGAATTGTGAAAGTAGAGTGAAAATCTGTGTTAAGTTTTAGATGTGAAGGTCCATTGTTGACAAATGTCTGTTCAACTGGAAAGGGCTCACCTGGAGCAATTTGTGTCATTTGCATAACAATGTAATTATGCAAATAACACTAAATCAGTGCAGAAAATTGGTTTGTTCCATACAAATTCTGTTGAATTGCAGTCTGGTCAACTGAGATTTCTGTATGATCTTTTGCAGTAGCCATTTTTTTCTTGTTGCACAGAACATTTAAAAAAAAAAAAGCTATATTCATGAATAACAGAGAAAGTATTGTGTACCTGAGTTTGCATAATGTCCAAACCATTTTTTAAAAATCATTTTCAAAGTATGCCCAGTCCTGCTAAACATAGCAATTTTAGCCTTAGATTTTGGTTTAGTTTAGCTATATTTTATTCTAGTTCCGTGATGGACAACCTATGGCACGCATGCCAGAAGTGGCATGTAGAGCCATATCTCTGGGCACGCAAGCCGTCATTTGTTGCTCTTCCGGGTTGTGGCGCCAGCCAGCTGGTCTTTGTGCACACATGCACGCCAGAAATTGGAAGACAGGTGACTGATGCGCATGTGCTTGCTGGAAACTGAAAGCTCAGCTTCCCACTGCACACATGCGCATTGGGGAACTGCTCTTCCGGTTTCCGGTGCTCCCACACGTGCGCACCAGAGAGCTGCTCTTCCGGTTTGTGACGCTCCCACACTCCTGTTTCGGCACTTGGTGCTGAAAAGATTAGCCAACACTGTTCTAGTTCATCAGTTATTGCTTTTTTTGCACAGGTGACTACAGAGAAAACATTTTGTCTTAATCATAGTTGGATCGTAGGGGGTCGTCTAAGGTCATTTTTTCATCTGCAGATCTTTCATTGCTACTTAGGTAGTATCTTCCTAGCTATGAGTTTAGAGGAGTGAAGCCTGTTGACAACTTTGGAATATTCTGTATAGTTGCCTGTTCTATCAGTCTTGTACAAGATTGAGTGATTGTACTTTTCCATGTGATGGACCCATTGCTATGCGATTCTTCATCAGATCGATTAATGCCATCTCTTGCTTGATTGTTGGCTAATACTTGTGTGATAAAAGGAAATATTGATGTGATCTGGCCTGTTCTCCCTTCTGCTTGAACTCAGCTTCTAAACTATATTAAAGGATTTAAGCAGACATTGATTATCAGGGAAGTTCAAGTAAAATTAGGTGATATTCATGATAGACTGAGGAATGGAATAACAGGAAGTTGGACTATATCAGCCTTTTCCATCATCGAATTTGGTAGATTGAATAAACCAAGACACATTGTCTCATCTGTCATGATCAGAGAGAGTGTGGCTCAACTTTTCAGAGCCCTCTTTTTATTCTTTGCTAGACTCATCTACAGAAGGGGAAGGGGAAAGTGTTAACTGAAAAGCTAGACCACTGTAGGTTAAATCTATGCCATAGCTTTTGTCCTTTGCTTGAATTGTGAAAGTAGAGTGAAACGCTGTGTTAAGTTTTAGATGTGAAGGTCCATTGTTGACAAATGTCTGTTCAACTGGAAAGGACTCAGAAGTGGGAGGGGCAGTCGTGGGATTCAAGTAAATAAACAACCGGTTCTCTGCCCTAATGATTTCTTCCAACATCCAGTGTGCCAAACTGCCCAGAAAGTTAACAACTGGTTCTCCCAAAGTGGTGCGAACTGGCTGAATCCCACCACTGGGGAGGGGTCTATGCTCTTGTCTTAAAAGTGTACAAAACATGCAAATCCCCCACCACCACCTCAGAGTTTTGGGAATTTTAAAAAGAACTATAGAAGAATTAAGCAACTTTGAAGGTCGCATCCATGCCTCTTAATTCTCTTGTCCAAACAAAACATTCAAAATCTTCAGCCTTGCCCATTTGTATGTGTGCAAATGGTATACCAAGGCCCTATGCAGCTCATGAGCTGCTGGTCGTCCATCTTGAGGTTAGTCCAATGCATCTAATAAGTGCTTGTGATAAATGCTGCATCCGCAGAAAGTGTCCAAGTGGAGGGGGGCGGGATATAAGTGATGAAATGTGTGTCATAATGTCATTTTGTAAAAAATCTGCCCCTTTTGTACTTGTAAAATAACATCGCACACAAGCATGTATCATAGGCAGAAATTATTGATATTGTAGCACATGCTTTGTCTATCTGGCTTATCATGCCCCTCTGCAGGCCCATCAAACTGTTCTAAATCCTCTTTCCTTTCCAGGATTCCAAAATGAATATCTGCAGTGGTGGGATTCAAATATTTTAACAACCGGTTCTCTGCCCTAATGATTTCTTCCAACAACCAGTTTGCCAAGCTGCTCAGAAAGTTAACAACCGGTTCTCCCGAAGTGGTGTGAACTGGTTGAATCCCACCACTGAATATCTGTGTGTGGTAACTTTATTTCATAAACGCAATTTAGCTCACGACAAGGAAGATAAGCACTTTCATCCCCAGCAGTACCTCCGCCACGTTCAAAGGCGGTATAGATAGTGCCAGACAGACATAAAAAGTATGTCTTGGATTAGTTGTCATTTATCCACTGATTACCTCAGTCTATCGGCTCTAGTGTTTTTTTCACTGTCCATTCCCACTAAACAGATGTCAACTTCCTAAGGCAAGGACTATCAGCTGGCAAAGCTGTAGGACGTGGTACCAATTCTAGGCAACGTCTTAGTCATAGATTCACTTAAAAAGACAACCAGATGCATAACTCTGCGTTATAACAATGATGTGTTACTGTGTTGGCAATGGGGCATGCTTCCTTTGTAATTTGGCAGTCTAGTTTATGCTTCCATGCCCTTTTTGTTAAGCTCCCTGCCCTCTGAATTCATTTTTTTGTCTTTTACGTTGGTTAATGTTGTTGTTTAATAGCATGCTTTTGACTCTTGCAGAAAATTCTCTCTCTCTTAAACTGCACAGAGCTCTGACTTTAATAATGTTATTTTAAAATTTAACCCATGTTGTGTAAGCCTGTGATGGTCTTTTCAGCTGCAATCTCATTTACGATCACAGGCAATTTCCATACAAGTTCAAAGCACAATTGACTTTTATGATTGAGCACATTCATTAAATGTAGTGGCACTTCTTTCTGACATCAGCTTTCTCAGTTTTGGGGCAAGCCAGAAGATGGCAGTGTTTTTTAACAGAAGAGAAGGCTTCTAGTTTAAAAATAAAATGATAAAGAATCCAGGACTGGGAGACAGCAGGTCTGGGAATACGATTTGAAGCTTTACTTTTTCAATAATTCCTGCTCTGGTGAAAAAATTTGAAGGAATAACTGACATGGCAAAAGATGCATAAGACAAAATAAGCTAGCCAGAAATTAAATAATACAAATACTATCATGGAAGGAAGCTCATGAAGTGATTAGCTCATGCTACTGAAAATGATATCTTTCTTTACTGATCACTTATTTTAAGGGTGTGATTGCAGGATACAGAAAACTTTAAAGTGAATGTGTATGTCAGCTGTAATTGGAGGAAAAATCTGAGTGGTGAAACAGTTGTTGCAACACAGGATGCGGCTCTTGCTAAACTTTTCTTCAACCTGGAGAAGAACAGAATCTCCTCAAACTGCGAGATGAGTGACATATAAATTTGATGAATAAATAAAACAGT